ACTGTCAGGGTGGTTAAGCACTGAAATAAAATGCCTACGGAGGTTGTGGAATCTCCATCGTTGGATATTTTTTAAGAGCAGGTTAGACAAACACCTGTCAGGGATGGTCTAGATAATACTTAGTCCTGCCATGAGTGCAGGGGACTGAACTAGATGACCTCTAGAGGTCCCTTCCAGTCCTATGATTCTATGACAAACCCTTGTCATCTGCAGCCTGGCCCCCAGCCAGCTGTCAGGAAGGGGGAAGCACCATCTAGGAGGAAAGTGAGGCACACAAGTGAGGGAAGAGCATGAAGGATGTGGAGGAGTGAATTTTATTGAAGGAGATTAGGCAATGTCAGAGATAAGACTTCAGAGAATGAGAGTATAGCTTGGAGTAAACACCATGTTGAGGAAATTACCCTGATGGTGCGTGAAATAAATCCCAAACTGTGGATCAGATGAGGTGGCTAGTAAGAGAAAGTGAATAGCCACTCATCCAGTCTAGATTCTGCACAGTATTTCATTTATTCTGAGCTAAAAAGATTCCAATCACAATAAAAATAATAAAATAACTTGTGCAACATTGTTTTAGAAAGTCCTCAATTCCTTCTGCCAACATTCTTCAACTTCTCAAATACTAACAGAAAATGAAGAAGAAAAAAAGCTGAAGAAAAACTAGAGGAAAAAAATACCAAACAAGGCTTTTTATTGTTCAGTTAATGAAAATTAATTGGAGATTGGGACATGGAGTTAGGAACAGGCTTGGGGATTGACTGAGATTCCTAGATTCCATTCTGTACATTCTTTAGATTGGATGAGAATCCGAGGGAGGGAGACCAGAACTGGGAGCCGGTGGGGGATAGGGAGATCAAATAGGAGTGCCAAAGCAGGGAGACCGGGGCTAAGAGTGGGAAGGGGGAGAGACTGGAAAGCAGGGCTGATAGCATGGCTTATTAAGGTTGCCCAACATTTACAATAAGGCCTTTCTTCAGTTAGTTATAACCATTTGAAACTTCAACCATTTGGATTGAAATTTTCCATGAGAGATGTCTGCCTCGGGCTGAATTTTTTGGAAAATTTCAGTCAAAACAGTTGAGCTGCTTCTGAGAATGAGGCTAGATCAAAGTACTTGTTTTGCCCATGTTAAAAAACTTCCTGTGAGTTTTTCTTTGAAATCCTCTAGCACCTACATGTTCTGAAACAGGGAGTTGACATTTGGCAGGGACCTTTGTGCTAGGGGTGTGCCTTTTGCCATTCCCATGAAATATGAAAGTTTAAGATATAAGCCTTTTAAAAATGACAGTTTGTACATGCTCACTAGAGACTACTTCTTTTAGCTGCTAAAAATCGCCAAAGCTTGTCTGTCTGTCTTTGAGCACGCTCTAGCTTCTCTCAGCGCCTACTGCTGACCTGACTGCATATATGCCAACTCAAAAGAGCAACTGAGCATCACAGAACCTGTGTGACTTGCCTGCTTATGTGCCATAGGCTGCAAGGGCTCAGAAAAACCTTCCCAGTAATTGCTGCTCTGGATTGAGGAGGAGCCAGGCACTAAAAGTGAGAGCAAGGACCCATTCTCGCCTGTGCTCTCAGTGATTTCTGGCACCTGGGCAGCATGGAGGAGGAAGACATCTGATTTAAATGCAGAAGATACAAAAGCTATATAAGGAGGTGAAAAGGGGGTAGATTGGGACAAGGAGTTCAGTGAGACAGAGTTGCAGGGGAGAAGAGAAACTGGGACTGGTCGGGTAAGTAGGCTGGGAAGACTGGAACTGGGATAGCTGGTGTGGGAAACAGGATGACAGGGAGCCAGTTGGCAAGGGAGGGGTGAATACTCTGAGATCAATTGAGGAGTTGAAGCAAAGGGGAGACTGGGCCTAGCTAGGCAAAGAGACTGAAATATGGAGTAAGGGAGGGGTTTGGGGGACTGACTAAGATTGGATGAGAAGACAAGGGAGGGAGTCTAGAAGCTGATGAGGTGGAGGGTAGAGAGATGAGAAGCAAGGAGGCGGGAACAGGGACTGCCGAGGCAAGGAAACTGGTTATCAGATTGCGAGCCCAGAGGGAGAGACTAGGACTGGTTGAACAAGGAGACTGGGATGAGAATCCTGAGGTGTGAAGACTGGAACTGGGGCAATGAGGATGGGGTGGCAAAAAAGACAGGACTGGAACAGGGTCTGGTTGGAGTCAAAGCTAGGGGGAACAGGCAGAAGACTGTGCCCACTAGACCCCACCCTCCCTCCAGAGCCTAGAATGGAACCCATGATTCCTGAATGTCACCATTCCTCTGCTGTCAGCAGCTATCTGTGAAACACAGTGACTGTGTCTCATTCTCCCTTTCGTGCCTGGTCTACATGAAGGATGGCAACCTGCTATCACTTACTCATTTAGCTCAAGTGACAGGTCTGTCTGGTTCCAACTCTGCTGGTTAACCATGTGGGTGTCATTGTGAAGACACACGATGGAATTTGTTTTTTAGTTTGCTTTTTTAAAAATCTAGCAAACTACACGTACATTTAAATTAAAAGAACATTACTACTGCTGGAAAGTCAAGCACTCAAAAGTTGTGCATAGGTATTATGATACAATCTTTAATTATATGATCACAGACTACTTTTTCCATAGGATCCTTGCTTCATTCAGTGCACAGCATAGAGCTGTTGTGGGGATGAATTAGTATAAGAGGCTATTGTCTATGCCAGGGGTCTCAAAACTCAAATGACCATGAGGGCCACATGAGGACTAGTACATTGGCCCAAGGGCCGCATTACTGACACACACACCCCCGCCACCCTTGGCCCCGCCCCACCCCCACTCCTCCCCTTCCATGAGGCCCCGCCGCTGCCCCTCCTATTCCCACCCCTTCCCTGCCCCCATTCCAACCCCTTGCCCGAAATCCCCACCCCAACTCTGCCCCCTCCCTGCCCCCAGGGTGTGGGGGTGGGGGCTCAGGGCAGGGAGTTGGGGTGAGGGGTACAGCAAGGGGTCAGGGTGCAGGGTGTGGCAGGGCGCTCAGGGCAGGGGGTTGGGGTGCAAGAGGGGTGCAGCAGGGGGTTCAGGGCAGTGGGTTGGGATGCAAGAGGCGTGCGGGGTGAGGCAGGGGGTCGGGGTGCAGGGGTCAGGGTACGGCAGGGGGGTCAGGGCACAGGAAGGCTGCGGTATGGGGCTCAGGGCAGGGAGTTGGGGTGAGGGGTACAGCAAGGGGTCAGGGTGCAGGGTGTGGCAGGGCGTCAGGGGCAGGGGGTTGGGGTGGCGAAGAGGGGTGTCGAGCAGGGGGTTCAGGGCGAGTGGGTTGGGATGCGAAGAGGCGTGCGGGGTGAGGCAGGGGTCGGGGTGGCAGGGTATGGCAGGGGGCTCAAGGCAGGGGGTTCAGCTGCAGGAGGGGTTCAGGGGGCAGGATCTGGCCCGGCACGTACCGGGGGCAGGGCAGGCTCCCTGCCTGCCCTGCCCCCCGCTAGAGGCTGGAACATGGGGAAGGGGGGGCGGAGGGACTGTGTGTTTCTGTTGCTTGAGGCACTGCCTCCAGCAGCTCCCATTGGCCGCGGTTCCCCATTCCCAGACAATGGGAGCTGCTGGGGGCACTGCCTAAAGCAACAGCCACACAGCCCCTCTGCCCCCCCCCCTTCTCATGTTCCAGCCTCTTCCCGGAGCTGCGCAGGGCAGGGCAGGGAGCCTGCCCTGCTTCCAGTGCACGTCCGGCCACTGCTCTGGTAAACACTGGGAGAGGACGGGGGGGCTGTGAGGGGCTCGCGGGCCGCAGAAAATCACGCCGCAGGCTGCGTGTTTGAGACCCCTGGTCTATGCAATTCCTGCCTCCTTTGCTGCAGAAATTGGAAAATGTGTAGTGAATGAGGCAGGAGACTGCTGGAAGAGAAAGGGTGGAGGTCCCATGTTTCAAAGACAATTGAATGCTGCCTTGGAGAATTGGATTATATTCCTTCCTCTGCCACAGAGATCTTTTGTGATGCTAAGCAACTTGCTTAAACAAAACTTTTCACAGGTGGTAACTAATTATGTGTTCCTTGTTTTCTGGGTGCCCTATCTGAGACCTAGGAGCCTGATGTGAAGAAGTGTTGGGAACTCACCACTGCAACTGAAGTTAATGGGAGCTGTTCATGAATATATAGAGCGCTATATAAACACTAAGTATGCTGAAAAATCAAGTCCTAGGCATCTCAAATTGGGCACTCAAAATTAGTGGGTACTTAGACCTTAATCTCTTTATGACTGAGCTAGCCATTGGTAAAACTGGAATAATACCCACCCTCCACATCACAGGGCTTTCAAGATAAAGTAACAGTTGGGTAGCACTCTGATACTATAGCGATGAAAGCCATAGAAAAGCCTGTGAAGAAATTAGTAAGTCTTTTTTCATAGTAAGGTTTGAATAATGTGCAGTTGGTAAATCCAAGGACCACACACTGAACAATGAGGATAAAACAAAATATTAAATAGCTTTTTATCAATTGAGTGCAGTCCATCCTGTGCACTGAACGAGGCAGGAATTCTGTAGAAAAAATAGTATGATCATGTAATTAAAGATTCTCACAATACATACAAAGCATTCAAATAAATGTTGCACAGGCAACCTTAATTCTGTAATTTCCTAGCATTTGGGTGTGTGACTTTGCAATGTTAATAATGTTCTTTTACCCTAGTTTGTGTGTAATTATAATACAAATATTACCCCACTGATTCCATTGGCAACAGATACTCTCAATGTGATAAACGACTTGCCCTTTACTCTTGTAGTTTTTCCACTTGAAAATCAAATTGTTCCCAAGACAGACAGTAGGACAAGATATTATTGAATTAAAATTATAAATATGATTTATTTTGGGGGGCCCAGTTACATTACTGATCAAATCAGTAAGGTGAGCTCCTTGTTCCCAATGGTGGTGGATTGTGCTTGGCCAGCCCAATAGCAGCTACTACTTACTTTTATTTTTACAGGGATGGCTGGGAGAAGGTCCATTAATTTCCTTTTTGCTTTTTTCGAATTGTGATTATTATTACAGGACTTCACAGATCTGTGACCTAAAACCTGGGCTCAGGCAATAAAGTTGCCAGATGGGGACATGCAGGTAGGAGAAAGGAAGGAGACTGGAGGGGCAATATTGGAGTGAGTATGAGGAGTATGTTGAACAAAGTTTTAGAAGGCATAGGCCCATGTATACAGTGTGCGCACATGCACGCGCACTGGCTTATACATTTACTGTAACTGTTCCAACACATGAATAAATGCCTCTGCAAATCAGGTAATTAGACATGTTTGTGCACACATTTGTAGTAATAGGGCATGAAAAGAGAGATGGATATGTGGGCACTCAGAACTCTACCTCCCCTTTTAAAAACTCTTGATCAGTAATTTAAAAATATAGGAATTTTAATGGTGGAATGGTTCAGTGAATTGTTGTTGCATGTTTATTTAGGTCATGATATGATCTAGACATGACTGACAGGTTTCCTGAAGTGAGATTTTACTAATCTGTTTTATATTCATAGGGGCAGGGACTGTGTCTGTGTTTGGGAAACACCTAACATAGTTTAGGCACTATCAAAATATAAATAATAGCCGTCAGTGGTGTCCACAAGCTAAAATGTGCACCACAGCTAAAACTTAGTGTGTAGCCCTGACCTAAAACCGAAGAAAGTTCCCACTCCAAATAGACTGCCTTCGTTAGACCGGGTTCCAATAATTTTTCATTCATTTCTCTGAACATGCACAAGCAGCATTCCATATTAATTCCAGGCCTACCTTCGTGAGACCAGATTACAATCTTTAGTTAATGGACTTTCTCAAGATTTATGCCAGTGGGACAGAGATCAAAATCTGGACCATTTTAGGGTCTGAGGTAGAGCTGCTATCTGAGCTGAGCTTTTAGCTACTCCAATCCCAGACTCTTCTAGCAGGAGCTGCTTCAGGAAATGGTGATGAATACTGGCTATGAGGCGTTTACACTTCACTCCCACTATGTCTCAGCAGGAGCTCCTGTATGGGAATGGTGTAATTCCTGCCCTGTTTAGTAACTCTAGACAAACACACTAACACGTTTTCACACAATCAAAATAGTGTCAAACACAATCAACAGCCAGCATGTAATCCCAGTTGCTTCCTGAAGTGAGACAAAACAGGCCAAATTCTGCTCTCAGATGCATCGATGTAAATCCAGATAAACACCATTGGCTTTGGTTGGAGTTACTTTGCTTCATAATGCTATAACTAAGACCAAAATCTATCCACAATTGCTCTAGATATGACCTTTATCCTTTCATAGAGGATGAAAAGAGACAAAAATATTACAATAGATATCTAACAGGTGTGCAGAGAGGCCTGGCTGATAGACAAGGAATCATACAAATTACACACACAGAAGCTGCCTTAGGGATGTACAAACATTATATTCAGTGAAAGATGGAGCAAAACAATGAAAAAAAGCAGTGCCCTATCAAAATGACAACAGCAGTGCTCTGTCAGCCTCAGAGGAATAGAAGTTTCACCCTGCTGCAGGCTATAACTTCTTTGGTTAGAGTTTCCTTATTATTATTATTATTATTATTATTATTAAAATCTAAGTAGAAGATGAGAAAAAAAAAGATAGAGATAGATGGGGGAGTACAAGGAATCAGCAATACAATATTGGTCAGTATGTTAGGCAGTATCAGCAGACCACCATCTAACATTGTCAAGTTTTTGGTAGAGATCACAGCAAATGAGGATTTTGAGGAGGGACTTGGAGGATAATGAAGTAGCTTTGTGGATGTGTATTGGGAGCTCCTCCCAAGCATGAGGGGCAGCATGGGAGAAAGCACAAAAGTGCTTGTTTGAAAATTTAACAAGTGAGAGATGGAGGCTGGTATCACTGGCCAACCAGAGAAAGAAGTGAGATTTTGATACTGACTGAGAGATGATAGGTAGGTTAGGATAGGCTGTGAAGAGACTTGAAAGAGAAGACAAGCAGTTTGTGTTTGCTACAATAGAGGAGGAAGAGCTAATGGAGGGATGCAGAGAGAGGGCTGTTGGCGGGAGGGATAGCTCAGTGGTTTGAGCATTGGCCTACTAAACCCAGGGTGCTGAGAGTTCAATCCTTGAGTGGGCCATTTAGGGATCTGGAGCAAAAATCTGTCAGGGATGGTACTTGGTCCTGCTGTGAAGGCAGGGGACTGGACTTTTCAAGATCCCTTCCAGTTCTATGAGATAGATATATCTCCATATTATATATGATACGGTTAGACTGGCTGGGAGAATGATCTTTGCAGAAGCATTCTGAATGGATATGACTGAGGCAAGATTGCATTTGTCAAGGCCAGAAAAAAGATGTTGCAGTAACCAAGATGTGAAATGATGAGAGCCTGAATGAGTGTTTTAATTGCATGGATAGATAGGAAAGGCCGTATCTTAGAGGTGTTATGCAAAAAGAATCTGTAAGATTTAGACATATCCTGGATGTGAGGATCTGGAGAGAGCTGAGTTGAAGATGACATCCAGGTTATTGGCCTGAGTGACAGGTAGGATGTTGGTGTTGTACCTGAGTGATTGAGAAAGGGGATGGGGGGATTTTGGAGGAAAGATTAAGAGCTTCCTAACTATGAGCTTGATCTGACAGCTGGACATCCATGAGATGACATCCGAGACAGGCAGAAATTTTAGTTTAGACAGAAGGTGACAGATCTGGAGTACAGTAGGTCTGAGTCATCAGCATAGAGATGGTTGTAGAATTTATGTTGGAGAATGAGATTGCCCAGAAATAAGGTATAAAAGGGAGAAGATAAAGGAACTAAGGACACAGCCCTTCTGAACCCCAACAGAAAGTTGGAGGGCCGGGGTGTGTGTGTGAGGAGGACCTCTGAAAGACATGCTGAAGGAGCAATTAGAGAAGGAAGAGGAGAACCAGGAGAGGAGAGTCACAGAAACCAAAAGAGGACAAGATTTCAAGAAGAAGAGCAAAATCAGCTGTGTCAAAGGTGGCTGACTGGTCAAGGAGAATGAGGATGGAGTACTGGTTCTGAGCTCTAGCTAGGAAGAGGTTGTTAGAGACTTTGAGAATGGTTTCAGTGGAATTCAAGGGGTTGAAGGAAGCCAGACTGGAAAACTCTAGGATGGAATTGGAGGGAGGAACTCCAGACAATGATTGTAGACAGCCTGTTCAATAAGCTTAGCGATGAAGGGTTGATGAAGCTGTAGTTTGAAATACAAGTGGGGTCAAGAATGGATTTTTTTAAGATAAGAGAATCTAAGGATTGTGAGGAGAAAGAGATGAAGAACTGCAAGAGAGGAGATGAGAATGGACATGAGGGATATCAGGAAATTGGGTGGGGTCTCTTGAGAAAGTGGAGAAGTTAGAGGAGGATAGCAATTGAGAAACATCTCCATCTGTGATAATGAAGTAGAGAATTGTAGTAGATGAAGGGGGGAAGGCAAGGCAAGGCAAGCCAAGGGATGGGAAAAGGTCACATCATATTTTGTCAGTTTTCTCTTGGATGAAATCTGCAAAATCCTGTGCAGAGAAAATAATGGAAGCAGAAGGAAGGAGAGTTTGTGGAATGAGTCAAAGGTGATGAAGAGGCAGCCAGGATTGCAGGCATAGGATTTAGTTGAGTTGAAGAAGTATAGTTATTTAGCTAGGACTAGGAATATGGCATAACTAAAGGAAGAGAGAACAAATTTGTAGTGGAGGAACCAGCCTGGTCATAGGTCTGCTAGAGATGCTCCACAGCGTGAGAGCAGGAGTAGAGAAAGTGGATGTTGGGGGTGAGCCAGGGCTAGGAGTTGGCAGGGTTGACCTTGCAGTGGGAGAGAGGAACAAAAGAGTTAAGGGTGGAGGAGAGTGAAGCATGGAGAGAATCAACCACCTAATCAGTGGAAAAGAAAGCTGAGAGCAGACAAGAAGTCACCAATGCTGATGGAGTGGAAGTCACAGAAAGGCGAAGTGACATGGCATTGGTGTGTATATTGAGAGATGTTGCAGAAAGACTAGATCGGTGGTTCTCAAACTGGGGGTCAGGACCCCTCAGGGGGTTGGGAGGTTATTACATGGGGGGGGTCGCGAGCTGTCAGCCTCCACCCCAAACCCCACTTTGCCTCCAACATTTATAATGGTGTTAAATATATAAACAAGTGTTTTTAATTTATAAGGGGGGGGGGGTCACACTCAAAGGCTTGCTATGTGAAAGAGGTCACCAGTACAATAGTTTGAGAACCACTGGACTAGATGGTGCTCAGAGAGAGGGATCAGTGAGAGGGCAGTGCCTGGTGAAGACCAACTTAAATGAATGGCCTTTTGATGAGTTGGAGAGCTGAACCAGGCCTGCAAGTCAAATTAACAGGTGATAGCAAGGAAATGTGCAACAAAGGGGTCGAATGGGTCATCAATGCAGAAGTTGAAGTCACAAAGGATGAGTGTAAGAGACTATGCAATGAGGAAGAGAGATCCAAAATGAGAAAGAAAGGCTCACGAAAGTAACATTGAGAGGGAGAGGAGAGAAGAGTTAGATGCAGTGCTGTTCGAAAGAAGAAAAGAAGTGGGAAGAGACGGGAATTAGAAGTCTGGGAGAGGAGAAGCCCAGCACTCCCACCATGGTCTGATCCAGGGCAGGATGTGTGAGAGAAGGAGAGACCTTCATAAGAGAGGGCAACTGCAGAGGCAGTATCAAATGAAAATCCTCAGGTCTCTGTTAGAATCAGGAACGAACAAGATATGGAGAGGCCGTGGAGGGTTGTGTTGTTGTTGTTGTTGTTGTTGTTG